TGAACATTAAAGGTGAAGTATGTGGTGAAGCATAGATCCAGTAGTCTGAGTATGTTGTCCTTGCTGATGGAGCTGTTGGTCAGTGTTCCTGTTTCCTCTAGTAATGTGGCCAGTGTTTCTTTGGCTCGTGGGATGTCAATGGATGTGAATAGCACTGTACAATCAAAGGATACCATAATCTCATCATTGTTGATATTGATGTTCTTGAGGTTATTAAAGAATTCCTGGGTTGAGTGGATGGAGTGGGATGATCCATTGACTAGGTGTTTCAGTCTTTGTTGTAGGTCCTTAGCTAGCCTGTCTGTAAATGTGCCCGGTAGGGAGACAATGGGTCTGAGGGGGATGTCTGGTTTGTGTATTATAGGGAGTCCATAGAAGCAGGGGGTGTTCTAGCCTTCTGGTTTAATTTGCATGTAGTCTTTCTTGGTTATTCATCCTGCATTCTTTAGTCTCCTGAATGTTTGGGTGATCCTATTTGCTTGCTGTGGTGTTGGGTCTATCTCCACCTGTTGGTAGGTGTCTGTATCTGCAAGCAGTGACTGGTTTGCTCATAATGAGAGTCATTCACCCTTTGTCCGCTGGTAGGACTATGATGTTCCTATAAGTACTAAGCGAAGTAGAACTACATAGCTTCATCGAAAGCCACACTGATGATGTTACCTAGAATGGCGACAAAATGTCTGAACTGTAACCAGTCAGCTCGGCAAGTAAGTCAACCTCACCCACACCCAAGCTACAAATCTTCACAAGAACCTTAGAGAAGATATATTCATTCAAAAAGGAAGGGTAGGGAAAACAAATCAGAGCTCCTCGGACAACAAAGGAACAAGAAATGAAGGTCATGAAAATGCGTGGCCATGGTAGGTGTCAGGTAGTAAATACAATTGAGAACTAAGCTGAATACAGAAGGGAAGTGAAAAAATAAATTCGAGAAGCAAAGAGGGATTGTGAAAAAAGACTGGCACCTACCATAAAAGGATATCTCAGTAATTTCTATAAGCACATAGACAGTAGTAGTAAAAGAGTTGTAAACTGAATAGGGCTGATTGGTGCAAATTCCTTTTTGGTTGCCAAAAGACATGGCTGAGGCATTTAATGAATGTTTTGCACCTATCTTTACATATCAGTTCGATGCTGCTCAGGTCATGGTGATAGAGGAGGAAACTGATTCATTAGAACATTTAAAATTGATTAAGAGGTACTAGATAAGCTGTTGGCACTTAAATACAAATAACTCACTGGAACCAGATAAAATGCAACCAAACATATTTAAGGAAGCGAGTGTAGAAATTATGGACACACTAGCAATTATCTTCCAAACCTCCTAGATTCAGGAGTGCATGCCAAAGGATTGGTGAACATTATACCATTGTTCTAAATTGATGTAAAGATAGGCCCAGCAATTACAGACCAGTCAGTTTACCTTTCTGGTGGGATAACTTCTAGAAACAATGAATTAGGGTAGAATAGTCACATAGAAAATCATGGATTGATTCAGAAGAGTCATCATGGTTTTGTTGAGGTAAAATCTTGTCTAATTTGAGGTTTCTTGATGATCTAACAGAGGGACTGATACAAGAAGGTGGTTGATGTAGTATGCATGGGCTAACTAAAGGTATTTGATAACAGTGTCAACAGAAAAGACTTGGCAAAGCTATAGATCACAGAACAGACAGCAGCAAAGTGGATAAAAATTAGCTGAAGGCTAAGCAACAGCAAGTAGTCAATGGGTATTTTTCTGGCTGGAAATAAGTTTATAATAGAGTACTGGAGGGTCAGTTTTGGAACCCTTGTACAGTCTGATATCCACTCTAGATTTTTGGGTAATTTCAAAGTTTGTGGACAACACTCGACCTTGGGACCACTGTAAAAAGGGACATTGAACACTTTGTTGTAGTAGCAGCATAGGTATCACATTAAGTTCAACGTGGGGAATAAGATGACACACTTTGGTACAAAAAACATGAAAAAACAGTATGAAACAAAAGGTACTACGCTAAAGCATGTGCAGGAACAAGGAAATTTGGGACTATACATGGATGTTATTAAAGGTGGCAGGACAGGTCCAGAGAGCTATTAATAAAGCATATGGTATTCTAGGCTTCATTAATAGGGACAGAGTACAAGAGCAGGGAGATTACTGTGAACTTGTACGTAACTGTTTAGAACTTGGCTGGAGTATTGTGTACAGTTCTGGGCCTACATTACAAGAAGGATGTGAATGCATTGGAGAGTGAGAGTAAGAGTTTACAAGAATAGTTCCAGAAATGAGACACTTTAGTTATGAGGAAGGACTGGAGAAGTTGCAACTGTTTTCCAGAGGGAAGACCAAAAAAAAAATTGATAAATGTTTGCAAAAATCATGTGGGGGGTCTAGACAGTGGATATGGAATTTTTCTCATTTGTAAATGGATCTTGCCCCAGAGGGACAATCAGACTGTTTTGCAAAAGAGAGTGATATGAAAAAAAAAGGCTTAAAACAGCAAGTAGTCAGGGGTTGGAATGCACTGCACTGCCTGAAAGTAGTCGATTCAATTAAGGCATTCAATAGGGCATTGTTTCTCTTTCAATATAACCTCCAACATCCAGAATAACAGCGCCAGTCTACTGCCTTTCCCTAAGTTTAAATACTCAGATCCAGTGCAGACATGAATTCTTTGATTCAAGATCTTAATTATTTCCAAGTAAAGAGTGGATTTGATGAGTTTCCCCAATGAAGAGTATTAACAAAACATACAGGGATGGAGACACATTTGGACCTGAATTGCTGTTCAGCATTTTTGACAAATAAATAGAGTGGTACTGAATAAAAACTGTTCTCTTCCAGGGGATTATCCAACTTTCTAGAATTTAATTATAAACTGGCACAAGGATACGCAAGGACAAATGCAAACATTTATGTTGTACACTATAATTTTATCATGATACAATTTTAAATTAAGTCATTGTAAATACATTGTAACTTGCTTTTTAAATCAATTTTTATTTAAAAAATACTTATTATTATTGTAGTAATGGACACTTATGGCTTTCCTGTATGAAATTGCATTCAATATTTCAGTCAATCATTGGCTATTTTCAGAAACCAACCGTGTGTATTGTATCAGAGTGGTACTATAATGCTCAGGAAATGAAAATGGTGTTTTAAAAGTAAGTGATTTAAAAACTGCTGTATAATTGTCATAACACTTCTTAAAACTCCTCAATATCTACTTATCCAGATTAGTTCCAAACCTTCGTCTCAAACAATAATTTGTATCTACTCTATTTGAACCAACAATTCATGGTAACAGTTTGCAGATGGAGCTGACAGCATTTTTTCAGCATAGAATTGCACCCTGAAAATGAGCGAATAATGCAAATAGCAGATCTTGTGTTATGTAGTTTATACGCATGTATCGTGGTTGAACTTTATATTATTGGCTCCCAGCAGGTCTTCTCACTCTTCGACCTACGATACAGGAGGTTTGAATACTATGCAAAGACTACAGGATTTATTGTTGCATGTACCGAGATACAGTGAAAAGTGTTGTTTTGCATGTTATGCAGGCAGACTGTACCAGAGGGAAGAATACAGTTACAGCTGCAGAGAAGGTGGAGAGAGAGAGACAGAGAGAGAGAGAGACAGAGATCAACATCAACATGAACATTTGAGACATCCGTCCAAAAGTCTGAAAACAGCAGGGAAGAAGCTGTTCTTGAATCTATTTGTACATGCATTGAAATTTTTATATCTTCTTCCTGATGGAAGATGGTGGAAGACAGTATAACTGGGGTGGGAGGATCTTTGATGTTGGTTGCCTTCCCGAGGCAGCAGGAAGTACAGATGGAGTCAAATGGATGGAAGATGGTTTGCTTGACGGACCAGGCTGTGTTCACAACCCTCTGCAGTTCTTGCGGTCTTGGGAAGAGCAGTTGCCATAACACACTGTGATGCATCCAGATAGATGCATCATAAAAAGCATTCTGTGAAAACTGGTAAGAGACTTTGTGGACACACCGAATTTCCTTAGCCTCCTGTGTTTTCTTGACCATCGCATTGATGTTGGTGGACCAGGATGGATTGTTGGTGCTCATCACTCCCAGGAACTGAACACACTTGACCATCTCCGCCACAACACCCTTGTTGCACACAGGGGCATACTGTCCACCCTGCTTCCTGAAATCAATGACCAGCTCCTTCACTTTGCTGATGTTGATAGAGAGATTGAGTGCCTAGAGGCATGGTATAAACAATCTCTTTCCTGTATTCTGTCCCATTGTTGTTTGAGCCCTGCCCTACAGTGGTGTCGTCGAACTTGTAAATGGAGTTAGAGCTGAATTTGGCCGCACAGTCATGATTGCATAAGGAGTACAGTAAGGGGCTGAGTGCACAGCCTTATAGGGCACCAGTGCAGGTGGTGCTATTGCCTATTCTTACAGATTGCAATCTATGGATCAAGTCAGGGATCCAGTTAGAGAGGGGGAGCCAGAGATGAGCTTGTTTGGAATTATGGTGTTGAAGGCGGAGCTGCAGTCAATAAGTAGGAGCCTAATACAAGTATCCTTGTTGTCCAGATGTCCCAGGGATCAGCGTAGGGCCATGGACCTGCTGCACAGGTCGGTGACTTGCAAGGACCAAGGCAATTTAGCAAGTTGAAGTTGATGCGACCCATGACTAACCTCCCAAAGCACAACATAATCGTGGAAGTCAGAACCACCAAGCAGTCATCATTGAGGCACGTTGCATGAGTTTTCTTTGGCAGTGGGATGACGCTGGTCTTCACGAAGAAGGTGGACACTTCAGATCATACAGTCAAATGTTGATGATTCTTTCACCTTCCAATTGAAAATGTTTCCTTGGGGATAAACCAAGTATGAATGGCATTCCAAACAGGTTAGCACTTCACGTTGAAATTTTACTTGTCCCCCTACTTCAAAAGTGCCCTTTAATAAAGGAAAAATAAAGCTCTCTGTACAGTTAAATGTCATTTGTTATAATGTGAAAAGAGAGAGACTGGTAGATGCAATCATTTTAATAAAATTAATCAATACCTTTTGCGTTACAAAGGTAATCAATTAAATCTAATCCAGCTCCGCAGCTTATCCCATGTTTCTGATACAGGTGAAATCTTTAAATGTGTAACTATAACTGTTTAATGCAAATGTTGCTTAAGTGTGGATCATTCCACAAAATTCCATTTCAAATTACTTCACTCTTCAGTCAGGGAGGTTTTTCTGGATTTCAGAACAAGATCTTTGACGAATGGTGTTAATTCTTGCAGCTCCTTTCGAACAGTCTCTACATCATATTCACTCTCCTTCTCAATGCTGTTGCATTCACCAGGGTCATCATCTGCCTGGCCTCCTTTTTTCTGCTGACCTACAAGTTGTTTCACTACTAGGCCTTGGTACTTCAGGAGGAGCTTGTACTGATCCTGTGGAAAAGAATAATACCCAGGTTATTTTTTAATAACTTTTCCATTATAGTTACTTTTTCAACTAAAGCATTGAGACATCCAAAGATATGATTAATACTTCCATGAGTTTCAATACAACATTTTTGCATTAAAAAATTATGCAACACAATAATGTGGAGAATAGGTAACTTTTCAATTGACTCCATCTATACTTCTCGCTGCCTTGGGAAGACAGCCAACATAATCAAAGACCCCTTGCACCCTGGTTATAATCTCTTCCTACCTCTTTCGTTGGGCAGAAGATACAAAAGCTTAAATGCACGTACCAACAGATTTAAAGAAGTTTCTTCCCTGCTGTTATTAGACTTTTGAATGGACTTCTCAAATTTTAAATGTTGATCTCACGCTTCATGACATTGAATTCTGCGCTCTGTTCTATTACCCTAATGCACTCTGTATTGTATGATCTGCCTGTACTGCATGCAAAACAAAGCTTTTCACTGTAGCTAGGTACATATAACAATAGCAAATCAAATTAAAATAAATAGGACGCATAAAGCTTTAAATGGTATTTTAGTTAAATAGTCATGTCTGGGAAATAGTGATCAGAAAAAAAGCACGTTTACACATCCTTGACGTTGGTTCAATTAAAACACGTGTTTCATGCCCCTGTTTACAATGGCACATGATCCAAGGATATTACAAAGACAGAATCAACAACGCAAGCAGTCAAGGCCAGAATTCAAGTTACTGTCTTGATACTATACTCTTCCATGATCCATAAAAAGAATTTCAAAAGAGACATGATGGATTTTCATGATCAAAGATCAATTATGTCAACTCTATTCATTTTGTACCGGACATGAATTTACAATGGCCATTTAATGGTACAGGAATCTCCCACTGGGAACAGCAAGAAGATAGCTCAATAGGTTAAGTGAAGGTAGGGTGAAGTGACTTAAATATGCTGTATTTGAGACTTGGTCATTGATGCTGCTTCAACATTGATTCCTCAATTTTAAGGAAGTGTGGTATGGAATGAGAAAAGCCATTAAGCATGCTCATTGGACTAGTCCTGTACAACTTACATCATTTATTTATTTCTACACACATTCTCACTAATCCTTTAAGATTATCAAGCAGTTCTGAAAATATTCATCCACCCTGACATTTTGAGCCAGGCAGCTTAAGAAATTCCATTGTAGCAAACAGAGGATAACTGTGTCCTAGAAACTGCTTCACGATCACACTAGCTCAACACTCTGCATTCCTAGTCTTAAAAAACATATTACAAACTGAGGGATTAAAAAAAAACTCCATTTGTTTATACTTTTCAGAATCATACGGAACATTAACACTGTATCCATAGATTATACTTGATTTGAATCCGTATTTAAAAACTGGTACATGATCTAAATTTTTATACGCGAAACAGTAATTGGCTTCTTTTATCACGGAGTGGCTATGTTTAAGGTGACAAGTTACCTCTGGAATCTTGGTCATGAGGAATGTGATAATCTGTGGCACACATCTGCCAGGTGCATGAAGCATGTTGTGTGTTGACAGCTGAAAGAGCAGGACTGATGTCAGATGCAAAACTAGTGCCGGCTCCTCAGTGGCCTTGACTTGTTCAAGTAATGCCTGTCTGTGCTGGAAAATGACTTGTCTAGAGCAAGAGACCATTTGGATAAAAGTTAAACAATGTCCCACAAAGTCATTTTATGACATAGGTTTTATGACAGCTTCAACAATACTCAGGAAGCCTCACATCATCCAGGTCAGTCGCTTGACTGGAATCCTATCCATCCGCTTAAATATTCACTCCCTCTACCACTGACACATCATGACATCAGCGTGCACCATCTACAGGATGCATTGAACAATTTGTCAAGGATCTTTCAAAAGCAGCTTCCAAGTACATGAACTCTATCACTTTTAAAAGCAAAGGCAATAGATTCCACCAACTGCATGTTGCGCTATAAGACTAACATTGTGAATTGGAAATATATTACCAGTCCATCAATGGTACTGGATCAAAACCCATGAACTCCCTCCCTAACAGCATTAGGAGAGTAACTATATCACACAGACTACAGAGGTTCATGAAAATGGCTCACCAACATTTTCAAGAGTGATTAGTGAGAGGAAATAAGTGTTGCCCTTGCCAGCTAACAACCCAGAACAAAATACTGTAGATCTGTACTGCTTTTGTATTGTTGTGCAAAACCTACAGGAATACAGTGTTTCGAAAATATTATGGGTGCCAAAAATTAACATATTAAGAATTAATAACTAAGTATCAACTCCCTGAAATGTTAACTCCAATACCTGCAGCCAGATCTATTGAGCATTCATAGAGTTTTCTATTTCAATTCAGGTTTCCAGCATCTGCAATATTTTGTTCTTAAATTAACAATTAACAGCAAAAATATTGAGAGATTGCAAAACAATTAATTATCCTCCAAAGTAAACTGTTAAAGACATTTGTTTTAAAGTAGCAATGATATTCATAATATTCCAGTGCTTAGGATGAAACTCAGAAGAACAGAAAATGCAGAAATGCAGCATCTGTGGAAAGATGATCAGGGTTAATGTGTCAGGACAACCTTTCATCAGAACAAGCAATTACACATGTGAAACTGTCCAAACCACAATAATATTAACTCCAATAGTTAAGATTACACTTCCTAATCTATACTTTCTCATTCTTACTGAGTTTTACCTTTCTTTCTTTTTATCTCCCTTTTTGAGCATAATTCCACAGACTTCTGCCACACCATCCAATATGGTAAGGAATTCTTCTATATTCTTGACAGAAATCAAAGAAAAGCAGTCATTCAACCAAACAGCCTTATTCACTTAATAATAAAATTTTCTGTAGAAAGTTTCATGTTGTTTTAAATGTAGTGCCCAACTTACTATTCCCTTTGATAGTTGTCTATTGCTTATGGATTTTTTATGCTTCACCGTGTGCGGGAGCAGGTGAAGATTGCTAGACTGAATCAAATGGCTTTCTCAAGTTTCCATTTGCACAATCTTAAAAGTGGCTGCATTTGCTGTTCACTTGATCGATTACCAAAGGACAGTTTTGCCATGCTTGAGTAACTTTGTAGTCTGCCCTGGGTCAGTCCAAAAAACATTTTGTTGGCCCCCAGTAAAAGACACCTGCACACAGAGTGCTGGAGTTAGTCTAAGTCAGCATCAACCTCAAAAAATCCTCCTTGATATAGGGGTCATTCCCCTCCCAAAAGTAATTACTAGTAAAAATTCTGAAGACAGCCAAGTTAAACTCCAACATAGTTAATAAGTTATGCTAAATGGCTTATGGAGTAGAAATTAATCTTAGTTTCAGATCAGGAATAGCTGCTAGGCAGATAGCCACAGTAAGGAACTGAAATTGGTCAGAAGTTCCATTTCAATTAGGCAGACAGCCTAATTGGCGACCATTAGTTGTGTAATCGATTGGAAGCTCTTCTACATCAGATGTCCTTAACATGATTCAAAGGCAGTTAACACTTTTTAAAAGGAGCTACAATTATGCTGCAGATGATTCGTACTGAAAGTTTCTCACCAGAGCAGGAAAATAAAATGATACAAGTATCCTAGCTCGAGGGTACTACTTTGAAGACGCTGGTAGAAGACTTCAAGTAGGAATGTTCTCTCCCTACCAGGCAGTAGAAAAGGTGTCAAGGGAGGTGTTCAGCAGCAGTCAGCATCAGGTAATAACATACCGGACAATTCCAAAAAGCTTTCACAATCTGAACAGGGTTGCTACTCTCATCACTTTCTGCTTTATCATTCACAAACCTTCCCACCTCCTATAATCTTCAATCTTCTGTAGTCACCATTGTACACCTCACATTACTACTTTTGCATTTAATTCTGAACTTTATATCAGTTACTCTCCTCGCTTTTATTGCCTTCGCCACCTCAAACCTCTGCCGACTAGCACAAACTAGTACCACTGTGTACTCCATATGCACATTCTCAAAGCATGTCTGTTAGTCTCTCTTCTTGCTTACAAATAGTACCAGGCAACAACGGGAAGAGACCAGGCCTCAAGATCCTCTTTCCAGCTGAGCAAAACATTGTGTACACGATGGTTATGGTTTGCGACAATGTGGCAAGGCAGGGGTTGCACCTTGGCTGTTTTACACTCTTTTTCTTGTTGAAATCATAAAGTACTTCTAACTCTACTGGTTAAATTGACAGGTACACTACATGGAGAAATGATTGTACAACTCAGCCCAATGTTAACCAAGGCTAATTTTACTTTATTGAAAAAAAGAACTGAAGAGTCAAAAAAAACTTACTTTGCCACTCAGTGCGTTATGGAGCTTTGAGAGAGGACCTCTGGTTTCCTCAGGCAGTTTTGCCAAGATTTTCAATCTGAGCTGAACATTAAAAAAAAACATTCAGAATTCTCACAATTTTATCAGAAACGTGCATTTATATGAAATACAACTACAAACTGATACATCATGTGATGTTTCACTTGCCAAAGCTCTACTTTTACATAATCACTGCAAAACAGGAGCAGTAGACCATTCAGCCTTTGAGTGTGCTCCCCCAGTCAATAAGATTGTGACTGATATGTCCGTGCTGTGAATTCCGCATTCCATTTACACTCGATCACCTTTGATTTCCTAACAAGAATTATCTCCCTCTGCTTAAAAAAATATTTATTGACTTCGCATCCACAGCCTTCTAGGGCCATGATATCCAAAGGTGCAAAACCCTTACTGAAAAAAACATGTCTTTGTTTCTGTTCTAAAAGGACAGCACCCAATTTATAAACAGTGACACCAAGCTTTGCAAAAGTGAGGCAAAACTTGCAACAAATGCCAACCAAAAACAAAAAAATTCTGGAGAGTAGAGAAGTCTTTTTGTGCCCTATAGTATTTAAAGTGCAAAGCCTGTGTTGTTCAACAAATTAATCTTTGTGCTTTAGCCCAACCGAAACGTACAAAACAATCTTCATGCATTTGACAAGTTTTGAAAAAACAGGGCCTAAATTGCAGATTGAAAGTTTTTTGAAAGCTACACTTAAAATTACCATAATAATGGACCAACCTCCATAAATGATGACGACGACCAACATCTGACATATGGGAAAATGTAAACTTTAACCTAGCCAAGTGGAAGAAGCAAGAACAATAGTATTTTACACACAGTAACTCAGCTCTCCATACCTCAGCGGTTATTGTAGTGTATGTTTCCACTGCCATCATCAAGTCCCCAGCCAAGAAGTTGAAAAGAAGATTTGAAATATCGGTGCATATTGTCTTCAATAAATGCTTTCCTAGTTGAACGTGTGTGTCATCTAAAACATCCAAGAACATTACTGCTTGTGAGACAAACTAACAAAGGGAACATTACTGGGCGAATGTGGTTGTCAAGCATATGTTGATTCATTGCCAAATTCTCAACACATCACAGTAGCCTGTGTACTTCCTGAATGCACAGTGCACTGGTAACTACAGTAATTTAAAAGTAAAGGTACACTGTAAAAAGGTTGATGATCAGGTTTACAAATATGGAAATATCAAGTATACACATAAGCTGATCAATAAATGCAACCGTCACATAAATATGACAATTTTCACTGCATACTAGTAAAATTAAATAAGACAGAAATTTATGAAAATACTTAGGAGGCTCAGAATCTGTGGAAACACAGATAACAGGTTGGATATTCATATTGGGATCAAGAACCCACTGTCTGGATGACTTCTGCTATCTACCTATCCACCTAATCCTGAAATGCAAATTTCAAGTTAGACCAGAGACGAATCCAGCACTCACACCAAGCATTACTTGGAGGCAAGAAAGCAAACAGCAGACTGAAGCCATGATTAGGAAGGTAAAGCACAAAGTTTGCTGCTAAAGTACTTCAACTCCTGAAATGTTTCAACATTTAACAAAAAGTTTAGCTTTTGCCTGCTTTAAACTAGATGGCAATGCACTGACACACACTTAAGTCAAAATACATGGGGGCACAGAGCAAATTCCTAAAGCACCTAGGAAAATTCAATGGGACAACCAATTAGAAAAAGGTTGTTCCAGTGACTAGAAATACTAAAATCTCTTAGCAGTCGCTCCTGCAGGGGCTGGCCATCTCTTGCATTTGCTACTGACAGACTAGTTAGCCCATCATCAGCAAACGTTGGAGAGGAACAGCCCATGATTGGAACAGCAATAAATAAAATAAAATAAAAAGACAAAACTAAGTACACATCCAGAACAAAACAGATGAACTGATAGTGCACAGAAATAAAATAAACAGATACAATCTGATAGTCATCATAGGGACACGGCTGTAGGATTACCACTTGGGACCCAAATATTGAAAGGTACGTGGCATTTAGAAAGGACACACAGCAAGGAAAGGAAGGAGCAGCAGTTCTGTTACTTAGGAGTTGTATGAAAAATCTAGAGATGGCTCACAATTCAGGAAACGGAAACAGTTAATTATTTTAAAAGAGGATTAAATGGGCACTTGAAGGAAATAAACTTCTAGGGCGAGAGCTACAGAACTGGCAAGTGGAACGGATTGGGTTGTTCTACACAAAAATCAGCATGGACCTGATGGCCAAAAGGGCTCATTTAGCACCATATTGTCTATGAATCCAAGTCTATTATATGGCACATAATCAAATGTCTTTTGAAAGTACATATTAACAACATTAACTTCAGAACTCTCAACTATCTCCATTAGTTCTAGTCATGTTACTAACAAGACCTAATGAATAGCAAGCAGGACCAAATTCCCAAACAATTTTACTTCCCCTTATCCCATAATTGTTGAAGACAATTACACTGCTCCCAGTCCAGATTTACCTGAGATCTGTAATCGCCAGTATAGTCAAATTAATGAATCTATGATATCCTTGACACAAATAGTCCAAATACTTTAACCAGGTTGGCTAGCTCAGTACATTGGACAGCTGGCTTGTTATATACATTGCTGCCAACAACATGGGTTCAATTCCCCTACCAGCTGAAGCTACCGTGAAGGTCTCGCCTTCTCAACCTCGCCCCTCCCCTGAGGTGTGGTGACTCTCAGTTAAAACAACACCTCTCTCTCTAATGAGAGAGCAGCCCTATGATCTGGTAAGACTATGTCCAAATACTTTCAATTTTTACCAACTGTGCCATTACACTGTCTATACTTAACATTTCTCCATGAAGCCATTTGGATGTTTATGTGCTGCAGCATGTGAATTGTAACAGAAAATAGCACTAAAAATATCAGATGTAGGAACAGAAGTAGACTATTCAGGCCTTTGAATGTGGTCTGCCATTCACTGAAATTATGGCTGATCTTATAACCCTCAAGTGTATTTTCCTGCCTTTTCCCCATAATCCTCACTCCCTTAACAATCAGAGCCTGTCTATTTCAAACTCAAGTTTACACAATGATAAAGCCTCGAAAGCCTTCTGCAGTAAACAACTCCACAGATGCACTACCCCGAGGAAACTTCTCATCTGTGTCTTAAATGGGCGATCCCTTACTCTGAGATAAGATTTCATCATAATTCTCATTTACAGGACAACGATTCAAATTTTGTGATGCAGCACAATACCAGGACAGTCAATTAAAATGATTCACTCTGTTACCTTATTACACAAATCATCAGTGGAAACATAATCACCACCAAATCCAGTGTTGCAGGGGAACTCGACTGGAAACACATTTTAACACATTAATATGGCAGGGTATTTACCTGGAAAGAGTTTGGCTCCTTTCTCAAATAATCTTATGTTGTTATGAAAGTTCGATACCTCCTCCTGCAGTTCTTTTACAGTCTTTTTTCTATTGGCTCCTGCTGCAGAGGTGGCAGTGGACATGAACACTGAATGCAACACCTCCTGATAGCTTTTACTTAAAGGTCTATTAAAATAAAAAACATATGGTAAATGCCATTCTACAAAAGATGCACCCATTTTTAAAAGTACACATATAGTTACGAGCTGGTACATTTCATTCTCACTTTAAATCACGGAGTGGTGACAAAAAAATTTTCTCAAACAACATTAAACAAAATCTACAACATAGCTAGTGTGTAAAACCACTGAGCTGACATCGTGCCAAATTTTAGCAAACGAGTGGAAGTGTCAATTTAACATATTCCAAAGAAAGAAAAATCATCTGTCTTCATGAGTTTTTAAGAGACAGATATTTTCAAATAGCAATTTACAATTATGTGCGATCAGTAATCATCTAGACTTGTGTGATTATGAAAAGAAAAGCATTGTTCTCCAAATAAACTGGAAACAAATTCTGCATTCAGTTAAAATAATAAAAAAGTTACATGCTTCAATTAGCAATTTTATTGCATAAACTATTACTCCTCAGCTTGTTCAGTGCAACAATTTACACTTGCATCTCTATTGCAAATGCTTTTAACATGAAATGCGGTTATAAGAAGTTATAAATGTTAACTGCACTATGGTGAAGAGCAAAGGAGCTATTTTGGGTTTTGGTTGTTATGTATTATTCATACAAGATCATTTCTTTTTTAAAAAGATTACTCATTTACTTTATTGTTGTATGTTCGGTTTTGCTGTGCACGAGTGATCTGCCATATGCCCCTATTTTACAATGTCACTTCAAAAATACTTGTTTGCACACTGAGATATTCCAAGGTCATGAAAGGTGCTGCACAAATTACTTTACCTCATCAAATGTTCTGCAAGTTCACATATCATTTCCTCTGGACAGTCTTCAAGACGATTCCTTAAAATGTCTTCAATTTCTTCTTGTGCCATGAAAATGATCTCCTTTTGTTTCTGTTTACCTAACAAAAGCAGATAGCAAAATTTTAAAACATCATGCCAAGTGGAAGCAATACAGGCAGCCACTGGGTTGCAAACAGGTTCTGTTCAGGAGTTTGTTTAGAAGTCAACTTATGCACAAGTCGAAACACTATGCTGACAAAACAAAACAGACATGCGTAAGTACAGGAAACATTTGTATGTCAGATATTTAAAATTACATGCCAGTATGGGATCATGTGCGTTAAATTGGAAGTTCGTAAAATCAAGGACACCCCGATTCTTTGGTTTTGATTTCTTCAAAACATGGAAAATACATGTTGTATTTTCAGCTCAGTAATTTTGATTTATAGGTACATTGTTCTTCTCTGTACTACAGCATTGAATCTAGCATATTCTGTAGACACAACCAAACAAACATTTGCCAGATTGAAAGTAACAAAAGCTCATTTCTAGATGTATAGAACACTGGCCCACTACATGATAACCTATTTATTGGTAGAAATGAGCATTATGTGGAAGTAGACACCACGTTCACTTAAAATATCACCTTCCTTTCATACAGTTCTCAGGGATAAAGGCTGTTTTCAGATTAGTAGGATACAAACAGCTGAATGTCCCAGATTCCTTAAAATGCCTTCAAGTTCTTCTTATGCCATGAGTATTACCTCCTTTTGTTTATGGATTACCTGCAACTAACAATTCCCCTCTATACACTGAAATTGGATAAAGGCACAACAAAAATAATATTGAAGTTTTTTGATGATAACAAAAATTTCCAAGTTAAAAGAGAATCAGGAGGGCAAAAACACATCAGTGGGATGGGCGTACAGATGTCAAATGCAGTTCAACACTGAGAAGTGGGAAAGTGACTGCGAAAATAACATTTAAATATTAGCACTAATTTGTAAAAGTAGACATCCAGAGTGATTAAGCAATATCAAAAATATGTTTAATGTGGCAGTCAGCAAAGGTCATTAAAGGACAAATGGAGTTCTAGGTTTCATATACAGCATTTGAATATAAAAGCAAGCAAGTCATACTGATTTTTAAAAAAAGTATTGGTTTAGCAAAGGCTGGATTATGTGCACTTACAGCCATTCAATTGATGGAGATTTAGTAAAGTGGGGGGTAAGCATGGCATGAATTCACCAAAGTAATATTAGCATTTTATTAAGATAAAATTAATCTTCAACAAAGGTTAAGGAGCCATGCAATAAAAGCTTTTCAAAACTGGAAGGAGCTGAAAAAGACAAATTAAATAATGTTTAAAATAGTTACTGACGTACCTACAGGTGGGCAGCAATGGGGATTAGCAAGACAATGAGAAGGATGAAGGGAAAAGACAACAACTTTCATGCACAGGATTTTTACAACATGTGATGCTTTGCTATAGTATTAATTTAGAGAAACAAACATTATCTCAAAAGCAAGTACCAAGAAGATTAGAGGGAAGAACAGGGAAATAGAATTATAGTAGATAGGTGCAGATGTAGCGTTAGCACCAGCGTGAATTTGATAGACTTAATGACTTGCTCCTGTCATTATTCCCATTCTTCCAGGATTGCAATTTTCAGCAGCATCAATTAGACTATGAATGGCAGTATTTAAATTTATTGTAACAATATCAAATAACATTCAGCCATTCCACACTACACTCCAATGTTCTGACGTAGTAAATAGTTGCAATGGCAGCCATGTAACAGAAAGGTGGGGAAAACAGGTTTAGGATCCAGGATAACTCATCACATAAAATCATTATAATTGACACTGATGGAAATCTATGACCTTAGAATCTAACTGTACAATTTTGCATTACTCAACAAAAAAAATTGACAATTACGCATTAATAACCTGCAACATTGATTTTAAGTTTCAACAGATATAGCATAAATCATAGCTGTGCAATCTTAGTAAGCAATGTCAACTAAGCAACCAAAAGTGAACATATTACTTTGTTAGATTAAATACTAAAAAAGAAAACACTAATTAATCTGTTTAAGAACATACTTGTAGTTGACATCTCTTCATCACTATCTTCATCTCGCTTTCCCTTCTTCTTGGTTTTTCTGGTCCTGATCTCTCGAGCATTACCACCACCTCCTGCTCGGATACTTCCAGCACCTTCTAATGGAGAGCATTAAAACACAGATACTAAATCTACTCCCAAGATAGACTCATCTGGAGCTGCTAAAACAAAACTTGCATTGGTACTGTAGAAAGTGTCTCAGGGCACACAAGAGATGGATGCTGGGCCAAAGAAGGAAAAATTCTGAGTAGTGAACAAAAATATCACCAAATGATGAGTCCTAAAGAATGTGTGAAAGAGAGAAGAGAAGCAGAGAAAATCTGGGAGGGAAATCCAACAGTTTACCATCCAGATGGTGATGCCAATGGAAGCAGGATGTCAAATGAATGGCGAAATTTTGGAGCTTTAAACCTGTGCTTGTAGGTGACCTGGATTAGTTTTTCCAGGTGTGACAAGTAAAGAAATGGGGCTGGAATAGAAACATAGAATATAGGTGCAGGAGTAGGCCGTTCAGTCCTTTGAGCCTGCACCACCATTCAGTATGATCATGGCTGATCATGCAATTTCAGTATCCCATTCCTACTTTCTCTTCATATCCCACGATCCCTTTAGCCGCAAGAGCAACATCCAGCTCCCTTGTGAATATATTTAATAAACTGGCCCCAACAGCTTTCTGTAGTAGAGAATTCCACAGGTTCACAACTCTCTGGGTAAAGAAATTCTTCCTCATCTCAGTTCTGAATGACTTATCCCTTGTTCTTAGACAACAACCCCTAATTCTGGATTTCCCCAACATCAGGAACATTCTTCCTGCATCTGGCCTCTCCAGTTAATCAGGATTTTATATGCTTCTTTGAGGTCCCCCCCAATTCTTCTAAATTCCAGTGAGCACAAGCCCGGTTGATCCAACCTTTCTTCACATGTCAGTCCTGCCATTCCGGCAATCAGTCTGGTTAACCTTCACTGGACACCCTCAATAGCAAGAATGTCCTTCCTAAGACTAGGAGGCCAAAACTGCACACAATACTCAAGGTGTGGCCTCACCAAGGCCCTGTATACCTGCAGCAACACATCCCTACTCCTACACTCAAATCCTCGTGCTATGAAGGTCAGCATGCCATTAGCTTTCCTCACCACCTGCTGCACTTGCATGCCAACCTTCAGTGACTGTTCCACCATGACACCCAGATCTCTGTAGATGGATGTGAATGATGAAGGGCACAAAAAAGTTGTTAGAGCTAACCTCATCAGTGACTAAGACTGTGGGATGGAGGACAGGGAAACAGGATGTTAGAGGGGCGGTTATGTATATGGGTATGGAAGCTTCTATGGAAGGAGAATGGATCAGTAAAGAAAAGGGGAAAAGGGGCAAGACAAAGAATTGGAAATCACCAAGTGGAGGAGTCACTCAGGATGACAGAAGCAGTGAGGAACATGGAAGATGGCTCAGGGTGCATCTTAAGTAGAAAGTATACAGCAACGTGCAGTACTCTAACGGGAAAGTGGTGCCAAGGGAGCAAGGAGAGGCCAAACAAGTTGGAAATCGCAAAATGGCAGCAGCTTGTGAGTGCCAAGCAATGGAACATCAGAATGTGTGGGGTACCATGCGTAAACTTCTTGTGCTATGTTTTACAGAGATAAAAATTGAAGCCATGTAAACCATGTAACGCTGAAGTAGCTTTGCCATAATTACTGATGTAGCAGTAAAGATTCATAAATAAATCATATTTAATTTAATCAAATAATTCAAATTTAAAGAAAATAAAATTAGGGAGCTGGATCTAATTAAGGATGGCAAACTATCCTTTGATCTGGTCAGCTCCATTACTTCAATTAATTGATAACTTTGAATGATAATGACCGTTTCAGCCCATTCTTCCTAAGCTGTACTCCACATTATAAAACTTCCTCAATTTGGCAAAACCTAGAAGCCTGTTTCTGGGGATGGATAGGTGACCTATAACAGAGGGTCACGTTGGTTCAGTTACGAAGTAGACCTCTTCAGAGATCTGGCTTAAGATACAAAGGGCCTGACTTTGCTCTTTCAGGACATAATGCTGATGTCTGTCATTATTTAAGTGACGCCAGCATGTTCAGAATTTTAATTCTTTTAGTATGGTAAATTGCTAAAAAGTGTGAGCTTATGAAAGCACAGCAAAGAAAACAAAATGGAACAATTTCCACTGAGAAGTGCAAATTAGAGTGGGTGAGTTCAACACTAAAATGAAAGACACAAAGCAAAAGCGAGTAAAAGATAGGATTAAACTATAGAGAGAAAAGACACAAATCTATAACAAATAAAACTTGAGGGAATTATATACTGCACAGATAACAGGTAACTTTCAGAGTGATGAGGCAGACAGCAAGATGCTTTTCCTGTGAAGTTATCAGGAAATGGTTCAATTCTATTGGCAACTGGTAGATTGGAGTTTAGCGGTGTGTCTGACCCTCACCTGAAGTTGCTCTGTCATTCAAATATAAATAGCAGTGAGCAGAGCCTCATTATTATTCTGACAGAAGAATCACACTGCAGCAATGTAAATGGATTAATGGGTTGACTAACATGAAACTAAGAATGCCTTATGATGGCAGTGGAAGTCTAAAGGGAGAAACTGCACCATTCACTGGTGCTGTAGCATCTCACTTTGGAAAAAGTACAGATGTAAAACCGGTTAACTAGTTTTTACTTAGTTTCCAGATTTTTAAAATTAAAGGCAGGACATAAGGTAACATCTGTACTTAAATACAGTTGTGAAAAATACAAAATTGTAGGCTTTAATCTAAAAGAAACAAATTTTGAATGTTTTGAAATCAATTTGAACGTTGAAAGCTGCTAAAGACATTGAGTAAAAGTACACATACAGGGGCCCAGTTGCAAACTGTAATTTATGAACTCACCTAATGCCTTCTTCTTCCGGTCCTCTCGCTTGTCCTTTTTAACACAAATCATACTTTCTGCTATAATAGCAGCCTGCTTTAGGTCCTCCTCTGTTAACACATGGGCATGGTTATTCTGTACTTCCTAGAAAAAAGGCAAACTGTGAATAAATGTGAATACTGCGCAAACAGAACAAAAACAAAACTAGACTGTATGAAGATTTACACGAAGAATGTACAAATTCAATAGTCAAAAACATAGACGATAAATAAATTTAATGCAATAAAGTAGTAAAAATACTGGTTTAATTCCACTGGATACTCACATCACCTGAAAGTCCCAAAACCAAATCTTTGCCACAATGGTCTGAAATCACAATTCCCACCCTGAACGTATACAGAAGCAGAGGGACCTAGGTGTATTTTGTTTTTAAAAGTCACTAGAGCAGGCACAGTTTAAGAGCGTAGTTGATATTAAGGGCAGAGTATAAAAGTAAGATGATAGATTAAGATCATATTGAACATTGTTTCGGCCTTTCCTGGAGTATAGTGTCCAGTACTAGACATCACATTTGAGTAAAAATGTGAAAGGCATGAGAGTGAAAAGATTCCAAGAATGGCACTAATGATGAGGAATTACAATTATTTACATAGGTTGGAGAAGGATTCATTGAAAAGACAGTTGAGAAGAAATTTGATATAGGCATTCAAAATCATGAGGTGTCTAGACAGAGGGGGAAAAGGTTTCTATTGGTGGAAGGATCAAGAACAAGAGGGAACAGAATTTAAGCAATTGGCAAACGAAGTGATATCAACATGAGAAAAACATTTTCACACAGCAAGTCATGAGGATTTGGAATATGCTGCTTGAGAACATGGTGGAAACAGGTTAAATCAAAACACTTAAGAGAAAGTTGGATTGTTAATGGAAAAGGAAGAACATATAGGGTTACACAGGAAAGACAGGTGAGTGGCACTAGATAAAATGCCCCTTCAAGACCTGGCGTGAACAACAGGCCAAATGAGCACCTTCCATGCTATAACAATTCTGTGACTGCAGTCAGTGAAATTCCCACAGTCACCAGTCCAGAATAAATTAGTTACCACTGTGGCAGGATAATCCCGAATGTATTAATTCAGGTAATCTCTGGTACTAATCAGTTTTAACCTGCATTTACTTATTGCAGCAAACTTCCTGAAGTGCTTTGTAGAGTAAAAGAGATATCAAACAGGACAGAATTAGAATGCTTGAATAACACTGTGAAAAAGTATAGATTTGAGGAGTCTTTTAAAGATGCAGAATGTGGAAGTGGGACATGTGGGTTGAGGGAAGAAACTTCAGGAAAGGATCAAGGTAGCTTAAAGACTGCCACCAAATATGAAACGTAAGAAGGGCTAATATAAGTTAGGCTTGATGTTTTCATCAACAATTATTTTTAATGGAAGCACAACAATATCAATCTTTAGCACTGTAGACCTTGTTTCTACTGCTTCATGCTTGGATATGATCTTGGTAAATATTTCTTTACCTTTTCAGCCTTGTGCTGCATCATCTGCTCAAACAAAGACACACAGCTGCTAATGAACTGCTCACTGACAACAATAGTGTCCCCAAAAGTCCTGGAAGCAGAATGTTTCTGCATGGTCCTCATCACTTGCTGGAGCAAAATGGATGCATCTTCCTCAGAAAATGAAGTGGGTAGTAAGGGCTATATAGAAAACAAAGAGGAATTACTCAAAACATGTTCAAAAGTCTTAATGGATATCAAAAGTTATACAATTCCTCAGAGATAGTAGGAACTGCAGATGCTGGAGAATCCGAGACAACAAGGTGCAGGGCTGGATGAACACAGCAGGCCAAGCAGCATCATAGGAGCAGAGAGGCTGACGTTTCGGGCCTAGACCCTTCATCAGAAAAG